GCCACTGAACTCTAAAATGTGAGAATTTTCCAAGAAAACAGGAAATTCACAGCAACCAATCAAAAGGGGTTCAATTTACCTGAGCCTGCATGATAAAGAAGTTCCCTCTGCTGTAACTCTGAGGAAAGTAATTTGAAACCACCAATTCATATTTTGTTCTGTTTCTGCTTTCTCCAGCCCTTTTCTGCCTATAAAGCCAACCCTTCCTGCTCTGCTTCTTGGAACATTTATTTTATACAATGAAGTGTTGCCCTATGTTAGAATCACAAATAAAAGCCCACTAGACCTTTAAACTAGATTTGTTGTAAATTTGACTCTTGATAATACACTATACTAGAAGAAAGACAAAGGGGCTGACCAACTTTAAGAGATGTGGTGGTAGAATAAACAAGGTTTTGGCATGCGTTAATTAGGGTGGACAGTTGATAAGAGGGAGTCAGAGGCTGTTCCAAGGGTCGAGTATCAGCAAGTTGAGGCATGATGGGGTCATGAATCAACTGGGAAGTCAGAAAGAAACAAATTTGTTTGTGGAAGAATGTGACTGGCTTGTTTTTGGTCATGTTGAGTTTGAGGCATTAGTGGAATATCCTGGTAGTGACATCTTGGATCTCTGAGACAAGTGTCCTCAAACTCCTGAACTATTGCCATACCTGTTACCTGCTTTTCCATCTTTCCCTCTTTTTTGATCAATCCAGCAGTTGGAAACTATGTTCAAGGGAAAAGATGAATTCTGGAGATACTGAAATGTCATCACTAAAAAGACATGGTTGAGGGTTATGATTAAATGTCCAGAGAGAAGGTAAATATGGAATTTTGGACTAGGTGTGCATTTAATGTTCCAGAATAGAAAGAACCAGCTAGCAAAAGAAGAAAAAGAAGTGCCTCTTTCCAGGAAAACAATACACCAACCAGCCATCAATATAAGTATTTCAGGCTCATCAACAATGAGTGGCACTAATGCATTGCTCTACATAAAAGAGAGTGGAGAGTAAGTTAGGGAAGGCAAAGGAGGTTGGGTGTGGTGGTTCATGCCTGTAACCCCAGTACTTTGGGAGGCACGAGGTCAGGAGATCAAGACTATCCTGGCCAACGTGGTGAAACTCCATCTCTACTAAAAATACAAAAATTACCTGGGTGTGGTGGCACGTGCCTGTAATCCCAGCTACTTGGGAGGCTGAGGCAGGAGAATCGCTTGAACCAGGGAGTCAGAGGTTGCAGTAAGCTGAGATTACACCACTGCACTCCAGCCTGGTGACAAGGCAAGACTCCGTCTCAAAGAAAAAAAAATAAAAGGTATCTGTCAACCCACCTTTGATTGAGTCATCAAACTATCATTCACTTTTTTTTTTTGAGATGGAGTCTCGCTTTTTCACCCAGACTGGAGTGCAATGGTGAGATCTCAGCTCACTACAACCTCTGCCTCCCAGGATCAAGTGATTCTCCTGCCTCAGCCTCCCAAGTAGCTGGGATTACAGGTATGCAGCACCACGCCTGACTAATTTTTTGTAACTTCAGTGGAGACGGGGTTTCACCATGTTGACCATGCTGGTCTCAAACTCCTGACCTTGTGATCCACCTGCCTTGGCCTCCCAAAGTGCTAGGATTACAGGTGTGATCCACTGTGCCCAGGCTTTTATTTATTTATTTTTTTTTTAAAAGAAATTCCACCAGTTCATTTGAAGTCTGATCAATGCTGGGCGAACAGATTAAATTCTCTTTAGAGTAGCAAATCTTAGGACTATAAGGTGAAGAGGAACTAGAAAGTCCAGCCATACCTAAGTCCAAGCTAGCCACTCTGGTCCTTTTCTCTATTGTATTCCATTAAAGACCCTGATATCTGGGACTAGAGTTCCTGAGCACTATATACCCATGACCTGGTCTGGAAGCAGCTCTTCTTAGCTGTCCTATCATGCCCTCAGTGACTCCGGATCTCTGAGACAAGTGTCCTGAAACTCTTGAATTCTCACATGCTCTTTCATCTTTCCCTCTTTTTTGGTCAATCCAACCAATTCATGGCTTCCTGTTGAATGTTATTTTATAATAATATGGTTTATGTTATTAATAGTCTTTAATGTTATTCAAGCCCATCTTCTATCATGTCATTGCTCAAAAAGCTTCAACTCTTACGGGCTTGACCGTAAGAAACTGTGTGAGCTTCTTAACTGGGCATTCAGAATCCTCCCCAATATCTTCCACTACCTATGATTTATATTTTAGCCAAACAAGACCCTTGATAATCTTGAACTTCATTGCATGTTTGCACTTCTATACCAGTGCTGAATCCCAAACTGAAATCTGGTTCATATTTCATGAAACAGCTGGTTTTTACACCCACATCTTGAAATCTCTTTCTATTCCCTCACCTAGATACAAACTCTTCAAGGGGCCAGTAGAGTGCAGTGGCCACAATCTTGGATTCTAAAACCCAGTTGTCAAGGTTCAAATCCCAGTCACACTGTATGCTGACTGTGAGATCATATACAAGTCTCTTTTCACTTCACATCTGTTTCCTGATCTGGAAAATGAAGAATATTAATCAGATATTAAATGAGATAACATACATTTAATCTAGTCTGTGGAACCCTGTAAGCCTGCAGCAACTGCGAGCTATTATGGCAGATGCTGTTGCTAGCCCACCCACATCCACTTGGTATTTGTCTCTACATTCTCAACCTGTTTATAGAAAACATTTGTGACTCTGCGTAGTCAAGATAGCATGCTCAGCTCTCATACAGGGCAGAGCAGAAGTGCCTGAGATGTAATCAATCTCCCAAGAAGCGACACTCAGACAATGACCGTTGGAGAGTCAATGGATGAATACCGCTTGTTAGGAATAACCCTGAAACCTATTCTAGAGTGTGGACAGCATAGAATCTCTTATTGTCTCTCAGACTTCCCCAGCAGGCTCTAACATCAGTTGCCTGCAATGGTAATTGGCTTGGCAGATACCTTTTATCAGCTCCTTTGATTCCCTAACTTACTCTCCACCCTCTTTTATGTATTTCCTGGGATAATTTCCCAAAACTACTTGGATTCTTGTCTTGGGGTCGGCTTTTGGAGGACTCTAAAACCATATCTGCTCTTATCACTACAGCTGAGTTCTTTGAAACTACCAGAATACTGCTTTGTTTGCATTAGTCTTCTGCTAGTTAGAGTCTACCTTCATAAAACCTAAAATCCAACAAAAAATTAAGACCAAAATACATATATTTCTCAACAGTGCCTAGCACATTACCTCTCACATAGAAGTTACCCAATCTGTATTTAGAGAAGAATGAATAATGGTAGATCAAAAGATTACTCTATGAATATAAAAATAGAGCAAGGACTATTGATTGGTTACTAAGAATATTTTGCAAACTTTTATGGTTCGACACATCCTTTTAATGTGGATAGGTCTACCTAATACACTTGCAGCTTCTCAAAGTCCCCTCCCCTCGACGTCCGCATCAGGACTCCTCGCCCACCTCCGGCTAGATTTGAGAGGTACTTGCCATTATCTCATCATTATCTTATCATGTTAATGTACTTGCGTAATCTTTTTTTTTTTTCTAAATATGAAAAATATTTTACAGAGATTATATTTGACGCAGCTGCTTCCTGAAGACCTAGAGGTCACTTTTATCTTATAAGCACATTCTTCAGATTTTCGTGTGGGTGGGTAACTTCCGCCAGACTTTTCTGGAGATGGCTAATCCAGCTGTGGGGTGTGGTTTCTTCTAACAGCCAGTCAGGAAAATCCTGTTTCTCAAACTCCTGTCTTGACCCCTTCCTGAACTTTGCCTCCTAGATCTTGAGGTCTGCCTTCTGTGGAAGAGAAATTCCAGAATCAATAAACTGAACTAGAGCCCTGGTTCAACCATTATCAACAGGTAATGGTGATACTGTAGCAGGTGGCTGCATGAGATTTGTGATTACAGACTTGAGAGTGGCTGTCACCTTTGGTGCTACCAGAAGTAGCTTTCAAAACTGTCCTTCTATAACAGAGAGTTCTAGAAGGGTGGTCCATGGACCATCTATATTAGAAGGGCTTCTGGCTCTGCTTTGCTTGCAGATTACTGGTCCTGCTCAGGCACACTGAATCAGAATCACTTGTGAGGATATTTCAATTTGCATTTTTAAACAAACTCCTCAGGTGATAAGGTGAACAAATTATCCAAGTTTTGGCATTGAAAGTCCCACATTCAGGAAAGCATTTAGTCCTGAGACATTTGGTCTCCACGTGGGTATGTCTTATGTACACTGAATTCTTAAAGCTGTCTTACACCCCAAGGTATGCCACACTAACACAGACGCTGCTTCTACTTGGTAAAAATCTCTGAGACTTTGAGATGACTTTAATCCAGTGTGACATTGGGTGGGGAGCTCCCTCAGACATCGATCTTGATAAGATCCTTCCATGGGAACTTGAGTGTTTGAGAGACCCAGAGTGTTTGTTTTGTTACTTTACTTTTCCTTTCTTTTGAACTTCATGTGCAAGGAGTTGAACTTGGTCTTGAGTTTATAGTACACAATTTTATTCTATATCTGCAAGGCCCTTCTCTGGATTTATGTGGTTATTTATTTGCATTTCTCCACCAGCTCTCCATGCCCAGCAGGCAAACATTACAATGTGATTGTTTTATACTCTGAATTTGTTTGTATCTTTTTAAAGCATATAACATTGTTCCTAGGTATTTTAATTTAAACAAATTGTATTCTGCTGCAGACTTCACCTTAACTCTTGCCTTTTTCTGTTAAGTATTGTGTTTAACGCTGTATCATCCTTTGATCTGTTGTTTCTTGTGGTAGGCAGCTTTTAAGGTGACTCCCAGTGATGGTGCCCTGTTGGTACCCATGTCCCTGTACAATCACCTTACCTTGATTGTGGACTACACCTAGTGACTTGCTCTTAGTGAACAGAATGTGGCAAAAAGTGACAGTATGTTACTTTTGAGACTAAGTGATAAAAATCCTTTGTCTTCCTCTCATGTGCCCTCCCTTGCTTGCTCTGGTGGAAGCCAGCTGAAATTTTGAGAGCCACCTTACAGAGAACCTAACAGCAAAGACTGGAGAGAGGCTTCCAGCCAACAGCCAGCAAGGAATTGAAGCCCTCAGTCCAATAGCAGCAGTGAGGAACTGAATCCTGCCAACAGCCTCGTGGGTGAGCTTGGAAGCAAATCCTATTCTAGTCTAGTAGAGACTTGAGAGGACCCATAGCTCTTGCCAACACTTGATTGCAGCATTGTAAGAGATCCTGAGCCAAAGGACTCAGCTAAGCCATGCTGGCTCTTAGCCCACAGAGACTGTGATATAATAAATGTTTGTTGTTTTAAGATGTTAAACTTGGAGTAACTTGTTACACAGCAATAGATAACTGATACGCTTCTAATCATTGCATGGTGTCCATAGCATATCTCTACCACATTTTACTTGTCTGCTCCCTGCAGATGGGTTGCTTGCTGCCTGACTCTAACTCCTGCTACTACTGCAAACACCACTGCCATGAATATCTTCAGCAAGACCTCCTTCCAGACCTGCACGAACAGTTGCGTGAAATGTATATGCACAAAGGGATTGCAACGGAAGACCTAGAGACTAGGGAAGAACTTGGAACAATAATCTCAGTTTCTTCATTTCCTAAACTGAGAGTGTTGCTGTTTTTAAATGAAGGTATTTTTCCCCTAAGCATTTTGTTCTAAAGTTGAGCTGCCTTTGAGGGGAAATAAAGAGACTACCAGATTAATGGTTTTTTTTCAAATGGGATGGTGGGGTAAGAAATAGTCGGGGTGGTCTGTGGAACAACTTGGAGGATTGGTGTTGTGTCTCGAAAAGATATTTAGGTATGTCCCTCCTTTTTTACCCAGGTCGACTGATTCACGCTGGGCTTCAGACATGAGAGGTTAGGAGTAGAAGGCATGCCTCGTTCAAAGGTGAGTGGACACATCTATAACCATTAAAACAATGTTTTTCTGTTTGGATTTAGTAAATGGTCTCAAGTTCCTGGAAATGTATGCAGAGACCCCGTGGCCATGAGAAGATCTGTCATTTTATTTTTTACAGTAGGATGAAATATATTTGGAAGTCATTGGACTGTAGCTGTCCTACATCAAAAGGCATTTCATAACAAAACACTACCATGCCCCATTTATAGTAATAGCATGCTGTGCTCTGGCTGCTGTGGGCAAATAAAATATGTACCTATAACATAAACAGCCTCACCTTCCCTCTAAAGACTAAAAGGCCATGAAAGATTTATTTAAATACGCTTTTGAAACATAGAGACACATACAAAAACATGTTAAACATATACATATGTAGATAGATAGATGGGAAGATTAGATAGATAGATGATAGACAGATAGATGAATAGAGAGAGAGAGAGAAAGAGAAATAGACAGAGATTGTCAGAAATGGACTATAAATTCTAAATTGAATAAATAATGTTAGAGAAGAGAATATCAGAGCCAGAAGGGACATTAAAAATTTTTAAGTCCAGGCACCTTTATTTTGTTGGCTTTTTTCCCAATTATTTTTATTGTGGTAAAATATACTTAAAATTTCCCATCTTAATCATTTTTAAGTGTACAGTTCTGTGGCATTACATACATTCACGATGTTATGCAACCATTACCACCATCCATCTTTATAACTCCTTTTCATCTTGTAAAGCTGCAACATTATACCCATTAAACAATAACTACCCATTCCTCACTAACCCCAGCCCCAGTCAATCACCATTCTACTTTCCATCTCTATAATTTTCACTACTCTAAGTACCTTATATAAATGGAATCTTGTTTTTCTTTTGTGACTGGTTTATTTTTCTGAGCGTACTGTTCTCAAGGTTCATCCATGTTGCAGCACATGTCAGAATTTTATTCCTTTTTAAGGCAATAATATTCCATTATATATATACAACACATTTTGCTTATCCATTCATCTGTCCATGGACACTTGGGTTAGTATTGTGAATAATGCTGTTATGAACAAGGGTATGCAAATATCTCTTCAAGACCCCACTTTCATTTTTATTTGTATTATTTATTTTATTTTATTTTATTTCATTTTATTTTATTTTTGAGACTGGGTCTTGCTGTGTCACTCAGGCTAGAGTGCAGTGGTACAATCTCTGCTCACTGCAACCTTCGCCTCCCGGGTTCAAGTGATTCTCTTGCCTCGGCCTCCTGAGTAGCTGGAATTACAGGCACGTACCACCATGCCTGGCTAAATTTTGTGTTTTTTGTAAAAAGGGGGTTTCACCATGTTAGCCAGGCTGGTGTTGAACTGCTGACCTCAAGTGATCCACCTGCCTTGGCTTCCCACAGTGCTGGGATTACAGGCGTGAGCCACGATGCCTGACCAAGACCCATTTTTAGTTCTTTTGCTATACATCCAGAAGTGGAAATGCTGGATCATATGGTAATTCTATTTTTAATTGTTTGTAGAATTGCCACACTGTTTTCTACAGCATCTCTACCACTTTATACTCCCACCAACAATGCACAAGTGTTCCAATTTCTCCACATCCTGGCTAATGCTTTTCTGGCTAATTATTTTCTGGGTTTTATTTTGTTTTGTTTTTATAGTAGCCACTCTTGTAAATGTAAGGTGGTACCCCGTGGTTGATTTCATTTGCATTTCCCTAATGAATTGTGCTGTGGAGCATCTTTCCATGTGTTTCTTAACCATTTGTATATCTTCTTTAGAGATATGTCTATTCAGGTTCTTTGCCCATTTTGGAATCAGGTTGTTTTTTGTTGTTGAGATTTAGAAGCTCTCTAAATATTCTGGATATTAATCCCTTATCAGACATATGATTTGCAAACATTTTCTCTCATTCTTTTAGTTGACATTTTACTTTGCTGATATTATCTTTTGATGAATAATTTTAAAATTTGTTCATGAAGTTCCATTTGTCTGTTTTTCTTTTGTTGCCTGTGACCTTAGTGTCATATCCAAGAAATCATTGCCAAATCCAGTGTCACGAAGCTTTTACCCTGTGTTTTCTTCTAAGAGTTGTATAGTTTTAGGTCTTATATTTAGGTTTTGATCCATTTGAGTTAATTTTTTGTACATGGGGCTGGTAAGGGTCCAACTTCATTCCTTTGCACATAGATATCCAGTTCTCCCAGGACCATGTGTTGAAAAGGCAGGCATCTCATTTTACAGAAAAGGAAACTGAGGCCCAGAAGGAGAAGTGGCATGCCCAAGGCTGTGCCAGAAGCAAAGTGTAAAATAGAACCTGAGCCTCTGACTCCCAGTCAGTGCTATACAGACATTTACATTTAACATAAATTTAAATTTAAATTTAAATTGTTTGAATATGAAAATAAGTTATTTTGTTAGCTCTTGGGTTCACTAATGATGGAATTTCTAACAAACGAATAAAGGTTAGGTTGATAGAGTAGGTGATAATTTTAATGTGTTTTTCACAAATTCTTTGGTATTTCTTTTCTCAAGAGGTGGAACTTAATTCTCCTTTCTTTAAGTGTGAACTGAACTTAGTAACTTGCTCCTAAAGATTAGAATGTGGCAGAAATGACAGTGAGTGGCTTCTGAGACTAGGTCATAAAAGGCATTACAGTTTCCTCCTCGATTTCTCTCCCAGTAACTCCTCCAGGGGACACCAGCATCTCTTCTGACTCTTTGTTTCCATGTCTTGAGGAAGCAGCCTCCTGCCTATGGCCATCTGAGGAAGCCATCTTGGAAGCAGCCCACCCAGCCCCAGTCAAGCCTTCAGATGACTGAAGTCTCAGCTGACATCTTGACTTTAACAACAAGAACAACAACAACAACAGAAACTCCAAGCCAGAACTACCCACCTGGAATTTGAGGGCTGCTTTCAAATTCCTGATCCATAAAAACTTAGATAATAAATGTTTGTTGTTTTAAGCCACGCATTTTTAGAGAAATTTGTTATGCAGCAATAGAAAGCTAGTACAGAGAATAAACCAGCCTCTCTTAAATTACCACCATAAAAACAGAGAATTAACCAGCCTCTCTTAAATTACCACCATAAAACCAACTACCTATTTTATTAAAAGGTAAAACCAGCTGCTGAAGAACTTTTTTCCTCTCAAGGCTTTGGCACTTGAGGTTCAACAGTAAGAAGAATTGAAGAGTGAAGGCTTCCTGTCTACCCTCTGGCATCCTGTGTTTGGTCTGAAGCCTGATAAGCCTGGGTTGCTCTTCCAGTCCACCTTGTATGAGACTGATGTGGAAAAATGTGTCTCTTCTCAAGGGCTAACTCTGGAACCCTAGGAAAATATTCTAGATTTGGATCATATTAAAATGGGTATTAGACCTAGGTTCTAGTTCCAGCTCTAAGATCTGGATGTGTCAAAATCCTTTTCCCTTTGTAGGTTTTTAAGTTTGGTCTCTTTAAATAAAGAAACAATCACCCATGCTTTGTCTTTTAACTTCCTACTTCAAACAAGGAGCTGAAGACACTGGCCATCATCAAATGACTAGTGGACAATTTCCACTGCCTCGGTGAAATTTGCAGTCTGACTCTCATCATCTCTTGCCCCTTTTTTTTTTTTTCTTTTTGAGCTGTGTTTGTGAAACTGCCTTTGCAAAGATTATGAGAGGGAGAGAAGTCTAGCATGACCAACTCCATCTTGCTTCTAGCCTCACGGGCTGGCTTCCCTTGCTCATTCCCAGCCACAGGCCAAGCTAACCATGAGAGGAATTTAGTTTATAGTTTAACTTTGAGGCAAGGATGATAATATTCTCTCCCTAAAGCAGATCCGTTCCTTGTTTGGGTTCTGAAACCACCTTTGTAAGACTAAGGAAAGACCACAAGATTAGGATTATGGAAAGGGCCTGAATTCTGCTCAAATGGAGGCATCATATCTATACTTCCTTACTGCTCAGGAGTTATGTGGCCAAATGTCACAGAGTTATGACTTCCTCAATTGCTCCTGTAGATAACATCACTATTGTAGAACCTAAGACCGGTCTTTTGAGATGTTTTTCAGATTTTTGCATTCTGGCAACTGACTGATGCCTCCCAGACTAATGACTCAACCAGTCCTATGGCCTCCACCCAGAGGTGGACTCAGCAAATGAGGACTGTTTTCCTCACACTCCTGTGATTTCATCCCTAACCAATCAGTAGCACTCATTCCCTAGCTCCCTGCCCACCAAATTTTCCATAAAAAGCCTAGCCTCTGAGCTCTTAGGGAGACTGACTTGAGTGATAAACTCCAGTTCTTCTCTATGGCCAGCCTTGTGTTCATTAAACTCTTTACTTCTATACCATGGTCTCAGTGAATGGTTTTATCTGTGCAGCAGGCAGGAAAAACTCATCAATCGATTACATTTGTCACTAAGTCCTCTCAGCTGGAGACTCATCAATGATATTAAATTTTAAAAAACTACCAAGCAAATACAATTCAAGTGGAAGCTCACCTGTGGAGTTATGGGAACACACTGTTATTCAAGAGAGCTGAAGTCTGAGTCAGATGCCTAGAGATATGTTGTCTTAGCTTTGCCACTCATTGGCTATGTGATCTTGGATAAGTCACCTCACTCCTCTTGATCTCAGCTCCTTCTTTAAGAAAAAAATAAAGTAGTGATAATTTTAATAGCCTTTACTGACTGCAATCTAAAAAAATGGGGTTAAGTAAATTGCATGTATTACCTTTAACACAACCCTGTGACATAGGAATTAGTGCAACATAAATAGCCTCATAAAATCTGTATTTTACAGATAAGGAAACTAAGTTTCAGAGATAATAAGTGGTGGAACCGGATTCAAACCCAAGTTCTTAACCACCATGGTCGTAGTAATTATAAATCAGTTTCAGCTTGAAATTGAACTCTCTGGATGGTAGGATTCAGAAGAGATGTGACATCTGTGAAGAACTGAAGGTGTCGGTCTGCCAGGCATTTAGTTATATGAGGAAACCAGAGTGAGGTTAGCATC